GGGACAGGGGAAAGCCTGGCTCCGCAGGGATGGTGTGGGGCACAAATAAAGTAGCTTCATGAGTTGTGCTTGCTCTACAGCATGTTATAGCAGTTCAATAGACACCAGCAATGGTTACTGCTATTATTAAATACTGGAAATGACTATTTCTTTCCCCAGATATGTGGAGAGTTGAAGTAAAACAGCAGCTAAATCTGGGATTCTTCCACATCACTAGGTAGACAGGGCCAACCCCACCTGAGGTTGCCACACACATTTGCACCCATGGGCAACAGAGCTGGCACCCCTAGTGTGAGCCACCTCCAAAGGATGCCCACTGCTCCATGTCCCATCTAATCCTGATCTCCTCTCTTACCTATTAGCCTGTTGCTCGGCCAGGCTGCCTTTCGGTTGAACAAACCTGAAATGGGCCAGGATAGTGTGGGTGGCAAGACTCCATTTCTTGTTTTGGGCCCTGCACCTGGTGGTAGCACTGTGAATACCTGCCATGGAGATAGGTGCTTATGAGGGTTAGGCAGGATATGACAGTTTGGCTTCACTGGGGGCACAAAACCAGCCTCTACCAGCCTGGGACACATGCCATCAGCCTCTACCAGCCTCTGGGCAGGACTAGATTCAGATTTCAGAGTCCTGTGTTTAATCTGCCTCTGATCTCATTCGTGGCACAATTTTGAGTATTTTATTTAAATTACATTGCCTTGCTTTCTCCCTTGTCTCACAGGTTGTGTAAGGATTAAAATGAGACATTCACATGTAAACAGAAGGCCCAGCTCACATCTGGTATATTCTAAACACTCAACAGAGATTTTCTCACTTGCCTTCCTTCCTTAAGGAGGAAAGTAGAAGAACCGTTTGAGCCCTTTAATTCCATTTATATGAAATTTAAGAATAGGTAAGATCACTCTATGATGACAGACATCAGAAAAACATCACTGGTTTGGGGTGACTAAGAAGATGTAGGAGAAAAATTCTGGGCTTAAAGAAACTGCATTATGTCTTGATTTGGATGGTGGTCATTGAGAGGACTCAAGATCTGTACATTTTACTCTGTGTAACTTATACCTCAATAAAAATAAAATTTAGAAATGAAAATCTTAGAATAAAGTATATTCAGAAAATTAGGCTGTAATGTGATTTGAGGTCACTGTTATTCATAGATCCCCAAATCTTTGGGAATTTTTATCTCCTTTCATCAGGTTTCCCAGGACTTGTTCTGGACTTTTTACAATTTTATTTCAGTTCTGAGCAAATTTCTGAAGCAGACAAGAGAGAGCCTGGTCCTCTTCCTGGGATAGGGAGCCTGGCCAGTGGTGGAGGGTATCAGGTGTGAGAACCTGTGCTATTGGAAAAGGTATTAGCTATGAGGAATAGTGCCAGGACCTGGTCTGAAAGTAAAGAGACAACTGGGTGAGTCCCCTTTGGCCCTCCTTCTCCAGAGCAGGCTCCGTCAAAGGGGCCTCTGGTTCCTGTCTGAACTCTGCCCAGACCCTGGTTCTACCCCTCTATGAATGGTTCTAATACAACCCCTCCTTAGTATGCCTCACTGACCCTTCTGCTTGCTTTTGATCCTCTCTCTGAATCAGGCAAAGCCAGGTCCTGTAACACCTAATTAGGTTACTATCCCTTAGCTACCCCACTCTCAGGGCCATGAAAGTGGTCTCTCTTCAGGAGCCCATGAAGTACCTGACAAGCCTGGGCAGAGGGTAGCATGGAGACACCATGGGCATCGCCTGAGAAGACACACCATACAGAACTAAGCAGTCAGAGGCCTGTGAACTTCCTGACTGCCCCTGAGAGAAGAGTCCTCCAGGGCCCTGAACAATCCCCTAGTCTGGGTGTGAGGTCAAGCAACCTCTGGGCTATCATCCCCTTACCACTTCTCAAGTAGTCCTAAAAGCATTGTTGGGGCAAAACCCAGCAGTCTCCTGTCCCTTCACTTCCATCCCCCACCCTTCAAATGCAGCCCACTTTGAACTTTTTTGTATTTGGTTCTTTTGGTATTTACCTCTACATCTCTAAATGGTACTTATTGCCACTTCTTGATTTTTTTCCCTTTTAAGTCTTATCCATTGACTTCTCATTTTGAAAGATAAAAATTTTGTTCCTTTCATATCCTTGTCCCCAGCACATATAAGTGCCCACCCAATCTTCCTGATATAGTTATATTGTAATTTTAAGTAAATAACAGAATTCCATTATTAGTACTGTATAATTGATAATTCCACATGAACTATGTAGTATATGATAATATTTTTTGTTTTTCCTGGAGTTCAAACTTGCCTTGCATTCTCATTTGCTTAGTTTCCTGCTAGGTATCAATAATCTAACCTTAAACATCCATATAATCTAAATCTAATTTCCATGTGTTTAGATAACAGTGGGCTTTTTATCACTCAAAGAATGTAGCTCCCACAGAGGCATACAGCCATTTGCAATGGTCTTTAGACAACCTTGGGTTAGGGAGAAGGCAGAAGCCTTAGCAATGGACAGGCATGAATATAAATACTATACTTATTGGCAGGGTACCCGTGACTATATCTGTCAAAATGATAATAATAATACCACATCATGGTGTAGTTATGATAATTGAATAAACTAAATACAAACGCAAATGCCTGGAATCTGGATATGCAATAAATGTTGATTTACTTTCTTGTGGGAACAAAATCACAAGAACAACAAAGCCACTGAAAGTATCTCATCATGCTCACAGAGCTTTCTCTTCATATCCCCAAAGTATTGAGCAGGCTGTGAACATTCATCAAGGCTTCCAAGACATTGACACTCCTTGAAAGACGATAGTTACAGCTGCTATAACTTTGCCCATCAGCGAATGATTTCCACTAAAAGAAGTCTCCTTAATAGCAACATCAATTTTATTTTAAATATTCCAAACAAAGGCAAAAACTCTAAAAAAATGATAGATTGATGACATAAAAAATTAAAAATATTTAAATCTAAAAAAGAAAAAACTTTCTGATGTAAAAGTAAAGAGCAAGCAACAGAGTAGGAAAATATTTACAGCATGTAAGCTAGTCAAGGGAGGGGCTGGCTTCCCTAAGGACCTGAACTAGTTAGGACCGAGACAGGGCTTCAGCCTCCCAGGCTAATTCTTTCTCTATTAATCAACTACTTATTCAGTCGTTCATTAAAAAAAATATATGTTGCATTCCCACCAGGTATCTAGCTTTGGGAGTATAATGATGTCAAAATCAGAAGTGGTCCCTGCCCTCACATAGCTCACGGTACAGTGCATGTGACAGATATTCACCAAATAATCATACTCAGGAGTGTATGACTACAACCTATGGTCAATGCTATAAAGGAAAGGAGAGCATGGAACTTAGACTGGGGTGTGGGAGATGATTTTCCCAGCTGGCAACATTTGAGTTGAGAGCTGGAGGGTGAGTAGGAGTTAAGGAATGTGTGTGTGCATGCATGCACACATGTGAGTGTGGGAGGTATTCCAGGGGAAAACAGGGTGTATAAAGGGCCAGTGGTAGGAGGTTCATGGAACACTGAGGGATAGAAAGGCCAGTGTGGCTGGCCTATACCCAGTAGGGAGAAGCCAGAAGCACCCCTCAGCTGGAACAACCAAAAATGTCTCTAGACATTGCTGAGTGTTCCCTGGGGGCGGGGAGTAGGGGCAAAATTGCTCCTGGCTGAGAACCAGGGACTTAAAACAAATGTTTATAAAAAGTTTGGGATTTCAAAGGCAGGCTCCTGTGAACCCCTTTGTTGAATCACTGGTCTCTTTTTGGATCAGCACCATCCAATAGAAACATAAAAAAAAATAATAAGAGCCACATATATGATTGTAAATGTACTGATAGCTACATTAAAAAAGTAAAAAGAAGGTGAAATTAATTTTATATTACATTTTATTTAACCCCACATATAAGAAATATTGTCATTTCAACATATAATCAATATAACATAATTGAGATATTTTATATTCTTTTTTTGTACCAAGTTATCAAAACCTGGTGTGTATTTTTCTCAGTTTGGACTAGTCACATGGCAAGTGCTTAATAGCCACAGGTGGCCATTGGCTAACTTATTAGACAGGAGTGGGAGAATAGAACTAAACTTATTTAGAGGGGTCTGGCCTGGCCTACCGTTTAGGTCAACAGACTTGCCCTATCCCCCTAGAAGAGTTATGCAAGGTACTTCTTTGCTTACTGGGGCCCAGAGGTTACAGCCCATGCAAAAGCACTCCACAGAGGGGTCCTGACAGCTGTTAAAGACACTGGAAAGCGGGTCCCATTTAGGGAAGTCATCCAAGTGATTACAGTGTGCTAATAAGATGGGTGTGTTCCCTGTGAGTCCACAGGAGGCTGGAGGCCTCCTACCACAAACACCTGGTGAGACACACACTACTTCCAATCTCCCAAACAGGTGCTCCACCCACCTTCAAAGACCTCCCATTCTCTTTGCTTGCAAAAGAGGCTGAGCCCTCCCCAAACACCGGTCACCTGAAAAGACACATTCTATTTTCTTAAAAAAACAGCTATTCTCATCTAAAAGGACACTTGCCCAAGATGCTGCTGTCTGGGGGAGAGGCTGTCCCTAGCCCCATCCAGTGACTGTCATTAGCCACTGTGCTGGGACACATGCTGGCTGGACACAGGCTGGTTAGTCCAGTTCTACACTCTCCCTACTCCTATATCTCTTGTCTCTGCATCTGTTCTCCTATCCAACCTCCTCCTGGCTCCTGGTCACCTGGAGCAACCAAGGGATTCCGTAAACATGGAATGTGGTGTGAAGTCTGCACACCCACTCGGGCACTAGGACGGCCCCGCCCTTCTGCAGTCTCAGGTCTGACTCCAACACAGCCCAGGAGCTTCACTAAGAAGGGCATGTCAGTCACGAGGAAGCTCACCATTTAGCGGCAATAGTCCCTGAACACCTGCCCCATCCGACACTCGGTGTGATAGCTGGCTAAGAGTCCGCGCATGTTTGCCAAGGTTTCTGGAGAAACCTCAGAAAGTTGGACTTACCCCTCCTGGCCTGCCTGATCTTTGGGCTCAGCATGTTCCCGCAGCCGTCCTGCCAGACTCGCAGGGTCGATCATGCTGTCATCCACTTCCCTTCGCTCTTCCTTGCCCAGTGGTCCCTCATGCTCAGCTCGCTCGGGTCCGGGTGGTCGCTCGCGTCACCCGCCAGGCTCCCTCGGCTCCCTCCCCTGGCTCCGGACGGACGGCTTGCCTTGGACCACATAAGCCTCGATGCATTATTTATCCATCCCAGCATTAATTCCCATCCAAGAGGACCACTAAAGCCTCAGTAATCATTGCTGATCAATCACGGGGCCAGGGCGGGGCCGGCCTGGCAGTCCCTCCGCCCAGCCTGGGTGCACGCAAGGCTGTCCATTATGAGCCGAGCGGGGCGCGTAGGGGGCGGGGTGAAGCCTAGAGGGGGCGGGACCTAGAGGGGCGGGGCCCACTGGAGCCGGCTGGAGCGGTCCAGGCTGCGGCGCGGGTTCCGGGCTTCTGGCAGTTGTCTGTGCGAGGAGGGTCGGTCGGGGAGAGCGCCGCTCGGCCTGAGGCCACCAAGCGGTCTGAGGAAACGCATGGGACTGCCGCCGCTCTGGGCCGCACGCCCGGCGGACGCGCGGCTGGGAGAGCGCTTTGGTGAGAGGGTGGCTGAGAACCCTCCAGGCCAAGGGGCCCTCTGGATCCCAGCCTATGGTACCTGCTTATGATCTCACTGTTGTAAGTGATGTAAGACTGGTACGTTTGCGAAGCAGTTAGCAGCCTGAAAATGTTCAGAGATGCTCACGAGACAGGAAGATGCCTGTTAGAGATGTTAATTATTTATGCCTCCATATTAAGGAGACAAGGATAAGTGCTCAGAAACGGCTTGGTTCAGAACCGCACATAGTAGGATCTCAAAAGTCATTCATTGAATTGAATAATGAATCTTTGCTAATTGCCACGTATCTGTTTAATGTCGCATAATACTAAAGGGTGCATATTGGGGCCTTTTTGGGAGGAGGTTCAGCCTCCAAGATCCTAAAAATTGCCCAAGGAATGCAATCACAATAATAGCTGACTATGTGTCAGGCACTGAAGTTGGTGCTTTATATTCAGTATCTCATTTAATTCTCAAACTTCTGAGGCAGATGCTATTATCTTGGCTTTTCAAGTGAGGAAAATAAGGCACAGCAACGTTAAATAACTTGCCCCAAATCATAGGTTACCGAGTGGCAGGGCAGGCATCTACACCCAGGGCTGTATCTCCACAGCTCACGCTTTCCTGTGATGCCAGTCTCTCTACCCCAATTCTGACACTGCATGTTAATAGCTCCTGGTTTGAGAGCCCTCAATGAACTTGTTGAATAGTGACCCATCTTTGTGCCCCTCATAATCACCCTATGTGTCCTCCTAGGCATCTAAACTTGGGGCTGGGCTATTTGGGCCTGAATACTGTGTAACCTTCTTAGTAGTTGGAAAAGAGGGACTTGAGTAATGACCTCCTTGCTTTGAATGGTCATGCTTTCCCTCTGACCCTCCACAACCCTCTGAGTGCCCCGTGTCCACTATTCCTAAATGTCCTATTGATGTGTAGTCAACTCCAGCAGTTGGAGGGGAAGAGAGGCCCCTAGGAATTTGCTGCAACTGTCCACACTCGGGATGGGAGGGCCTAAGAAGAGGGGAGGATTGGAGAGTTAGGAAGAAGACTCTCCAGGATGTGGTAAGCCACATGGCCGAGTTGGTGGGAGAAGGCAGAGTCCGCAGAGACAAAGCTGGTTTACTCAGCATCAAGTCACTTGTTCTGGCCCTTAGCTACTCTTCATAGAGACGAATGGGTATCTTTACATGATGTTCAAAGTCATTCATGGCTTCCTTTTGGAGCCATCTCTTGCTCTGCTCCCATGTGCCTTGGTACCTTTGCATGTACAGCTCCCTCAGTCTGGAATGCCCTGCCCCACATTGACTCAGCTATACGAGACTTGCCATTCTTTGAGCACTTCCCCTGTGAAATTCTCCTGGTTTCACCAGCAGAAAAAGCCACTAGGCACTTCCCCAGGTCCTTATCTGTGTCCCTAGACTGTCCCCTGTGCACTCCTTCCCTGGACCCCAGGGTGACTCGAGACAGAAGCCCCATAAGAAATATTGGCTCTGTGGGCGGCTCCAAGAAACATCACTGAATGACAGTATTGACTTCCTTTTCCTTTAGGGCCAGGAACAAGCCTGATCAGCCTGAGACAGAGACTACCCAGTAGGAGTGGGGGAGAATATCAAGATGGAAAGTCTCATGTTGATATAAGAATTCCAGGGTGAGTTCCGTGATCTGTGACAATGTCTTGAGCAATCAAGAAGCCATCTGTGAGTAATGCAGCCTGGACCACTTTCGCCAAGTCAGAGACAAGAAAATGCCCTGAGTCTTAGTGTGAGTCCACTCACACTTGTTTTTGTTAAGAAACCACCTTTGGGCGCTTTTCCTGTGCAGCTGTTTTCCCTGATGACATTAAGTAACTGCGTTCACTTGCCTACTTTTCTGTCGATTAGAATTGAAACTGGATGAAACACACACTTTGGGCTCACACCCAAAAGTCAGGCTGGGAAAAGGGCAGGAGCTGATCTAGATTCCGCCTCTGAGAAGGGTGGGGAAATGGAGGTGGGTGGGCAAAGCAGTTCTTTCCTCCTTTCTGGCCTCAGACCGCACTCCCAGACTTCCCTGCTGAAGGAAGTACTGGGAGTGCGGTGGGAATTGGAGCCCATCCTGAAGTTAACAAACCCTGGTCAGCAGGGCCCTGGGAGTCTCCCAATCTTCTGGGGCTGCCAGTGGGAGAATTAGGTGGGGACCAAGAGAAGGGCAAGTGGATCTGTTCAACATGATGGGCTCCTGCATAAGATTTTATTTGAAGAACAAGCCCCATTTACAAGCGAGACACTAAGACCAAGGAAAGGAGACACAGGAAGTCTAGGTTAGCAGTAGAGACAGAGAGATAGCCCCTTCCCCACTGCCCTGTGCCTGCCCACCCAGCTCTGCCTCTCCCCAGCAGTGGCCCTGGGTCTGCCTTCACAGGTTTCCCACCTCAAATCATTCAGCATTGTCTAAGGGCTGCTCTGGGGCAGGTGTTGAAGGATGTGTGGAGAGCACTGAGAGGACAGAACTCTCCAGAAGGCATCTGCTGAAATGCACACCAGTTGGTGGGATGGTCCCACCAACATCGGTTGGCCCAGAGCCAGAATGCTTCAGAACAGTGGTCCCTAACCTTGGCTTCACACTGGGGAGCATTGACAACTAATGCTTGTGTCCCACCTCCGGTGGTTCTGAATTAACTAGTCCAGTGTGTCTGTTGGTAATTGGGAGTTGTAGAAGCTCCTCTGGTGATCCAATGTGCAGCCGGGGTTGAGAACCACAGCTTTAGAAGACAACTGCATGTCCCTGGGCATGGGCCACCGGAGGCGGTCTTTGCTTGCTGCCATTCTAAGAAAGATTTTTCTCAGGGAGAGGCAAATCTGCCAATCAGTCTCCCAGTTGGAAAGTGGAAAGTGGCATCTGCCCCAAATCCCAGAGGAAGACAACTCCACTCCATGCAGAGTCGCAGGTACAGTTGTATAGTCTGTGCACTGCACAAAGGGGCCCAGTAGGGGGGGATAGAAGACTGGGTTTTTGCTCCACTGGTAAAACCATCAGTCTAATGTGGAGCTGGGCTCAGGGGCTCTGCAGCCAGAGGAGGAGCTTTCCTTCAATTTGCACAAAGGTGCCATTTAGATAGCAGAACTCTGCTTCTCCTGTTCCAGAAGCTGTAGGGAGGATCAGGATTGGCTCTTCTGGAGGTAGTGGGGGAAACACTGCTACTCTGGCTCTGTGATGCCTGCCCTGTGGTCACCAGCACCAGTGTCCCCTGCCTGCCTGCTTAGAGTACTCTTTCCTCACTGCCGAGAGGCTGGTGTCTCAGCTCCCTAGCATGTCATTCAAGGTTTTCACAGGCAATTCTCACCCTCTCTACTCCAGTTTCTCCTTCTGTCTATCCCAGTGGAACAGCTGGGTGTACCAATTGACATGAGAGTTCATTGTTACAGTCTCAAGAATTTTGCAAGCCAGTTGTTTAATGAGGATGTTATTAGAAGTGAAATTATATAAACATAATTAAATACATTATATTTAAAACAAAGGTAACAAATACTCAAAAAAAATCATTTTCTAATCATTTTACTACATGTTATTGTGCTTGAGGGTATTTATATCTATGGAATCTGTATGGTGAATGCTATATGGTTACCATGCATCCATTCTGATTCCATATTCAGTGACATCATGCTGATAGTTTGAAATTAAACTTAGTGGAAGCATTTACACTTAGGAAATAAGAAAATGATCTAAATCAGATCTGAAAAAATATATGTATTTTTGCTACCAGACAACTGGTTGTTAAGCATTTGCCAACATGTCTCTGGCCCATCCCTACCTCATTCACACTGTGTGCCCCAGTCACTGTATTCTTTCGCTCTGGGCAGAGAATGTTAGCTCTCCTCTGACTCTGTTCTTCCTGTCTTCCTGGGAACACACAGATGCTCTACATTTCCAATCTCCTAGCAGTTAGGTGTGACTGCATCCTGGCCATTAGATATGAGCAGAAGTGATGTGGCTGCTTCTAGGCCTTGCCCATGGGACTCCTCCTTCTGACACCTCTCCAAGCCCATTTCCTTTTCTGGCCAACTGGGATAGGACCACTTTGGAATTCTCATGTAGAAGATGGTAGAGTCTCCTCAGTCTGGGTCCCTGAATGACTGCATGGAGCCAAGACCTCACTGTCAACCTGGAAGCATCTTGGGCAGTTATGAGAGAGAAAAATCAACTGTATTGAGCCACTGCATAGCTCGCCTTCTTTGTTACCATAGCTGATCTGCCACCAGATATACACTCTGCTTGCCCTTGTTTGCCTATCAGACTTTGATGCATCCTTCCAGATCCTGTTCCAGGGGCACATCCCTGATCAGTGTTTCATGGTTAGAGTTCTACTTTAACATGTCCCTCATGACTCATGCCCAAGGCCACAGGAACCTTCTACAAGGCCTGCTGCCCAAACTTTAGAGGGCTATGAGCTCTTCCTGCCCCTTCGCCCATAATTTAATTATGAACTATTCACAAATCTTATACTATGCTGGATTTAAAATATTATTTCTAGATTTTTAAATTGCAAAATTTTGTGGGATTCATCAAAGGTGATCTTTTGTGCTGCTTTGGTGATCTTACCATGCTGGTACTCTGAGTCTGTCCTTGATCATCTGGCTGTTGGGCACTTGGGCAGTGCAGGCTGCTCTGACACAAAGAGTGAGGTCTCTCTCCCTACTCACTGCCCCTGGCCTCAACTCTGCTGCCTTGGGCCTAAAGTCTGTCTCTGGCATTTGACCCC